TGCGCATGTGCACATGTGTGTATGTGAGCATGTGTATGAGCATGTGTGTGATAGCATGTCCTCCCATTTTGAAATTGGCGTGGTCATTAAAGACAGGGAACAACTGAAAAAATGACAAGAGAAGAGGATAGGTGAAAGGAGGATTCGGATGTTAGTACTTGTGTCCCGTTGGAATTTAACGGGGCATTGAGTACATATGCTCTAGCGAAAGTTTTAAGATGGCATTCAGTACATATGCTCTAATGAGAGGTTTAGGGTGACATGTATTAATACATGTATCTAATGGCAGTTTTAAAGTGACATTACCTTGCTTTCATGGGAGTTTTAACTAGTTTTTCCAAAAGACAAAATGTTCAAGGTTTAAACAAAAATGTTAATATTGTAATGAGGTAAAGAGTTTGTATACTTTTAAGAATCATTTCCCCCTTCTTTAACAGTGCTGTCCTATGAGCCACATGGTGGAAGGAGGGAGAAAACTGACTTGGTAAGTTGTCCCTTGGCCTCCACATGGACACACACGGACACACACACACACACACACACACACACACAAAGTTTTGTAATTGTAAACAAAATCGTTACAGTATATTTTGTGTCTCTCTTGAAGGCGACGTCTAGAGAAAACACGCCCTAGGCTGCAGGGGGCTCCAGGTGCCAGGAGGCTGACTCAGCAGTGAAGACTTGGGGCTAAGTTGGGTGTCTGGCTGTGTGAATCCTTTCTTTGCCTGCCTCTGCATCGCCGCCCCCAAGAGCCCCTGTAAATTTCTTGGGGGTCGGCAGGGGCCAGTCGCGGCTAGAGGTCTAGCTGGGGTGCCAAGCGCCTTGACCTGGCTTCCCCTGGCCGCCGCCATGCCCTTCCACGCCGCCTACCTCTTGCAGGGGATCAGCGCCTTCCTCTCGTCCAGCACCCGCACGCGCTGGTTGAGCCCATCGTAGGACAGCAGGGCGCGGCTGTTGTGCCCGCTGCTCTGCTGGTACAGAACCTGGCGTCCCTCCCACTGCTGGGGCGCCTGGCAAGGCTGCGGGGTCCCCGGTGAGCCCGCTGTCCCCAGGCCGCACAGGCCGCACAGCGCCCAGACCCAGAGGCTACCCAGCAGCCAGGTGCCCCGAGGCCCCCGGACCACGCGGCGGGGAGCGTGTGCGTGCATCACGATCAGCCGCCCCGGGGTCAGCCGAGCCCAAGAGAGCGCGGAGGCCGGGCGTGGATGCGTGGCTCGTTCTCTCCGCGCTGGGCGGAAGGTGAGCTCCTGGAAACCGGGCTCGGGAGCGCTGGCCTCTCCCGCTTTTCCGCTGTAGAGGCTCAGAAAGCGGGCCTGGGAAAGCCACTTGAATCGCCCAGGAGCTCTAGCTGCCCTGGCGGCTGCTTACTAAAGCTTGTTTTCACTGCTCTCTGCTGCCAACAGGAAACGCAGCGGCAGTGCTGCCACTAGCATCCTGAAGGGCATTGAGATTTAAAAGGTTTGGGGCGGAGAAGCGGGAACGAGCTAAGCAGGGACTCCTTTCTCCAAGAGGCGCAGCATTCGACCCGCAAAGCCTCAGTGGGGCAATTTTGCGGGGTCCAGCGGGAAAGCAGAGGTGCAGAACTTTCTCTGGCCACTGTAATTTGTCTATGGCAAGACTGCGACCTGTTTTTGTTTTGTTTTGTTTTTTAAAACAAATTTTAAATGTCGTGATGGACCCTGAAGAAATGACACTACTGGTCGCGGGGCAATTTCCAGTCTCGAGGCCTTTACCTTGCCTCGAAGTCACCATTCAGTGAGATTCCTCTCTGTTCCTGCATGGCAAAGCTTCAGGACTAGAGAGGTTTGTGTGTCTTAGGGTTTAAATCTGTGTGAACAAATTGGGTTTGTGTTTAAGTAATGTTAGGATTAATACTATACAACCAAGTCCTGAGGAGACCATTTTCTTTTAAACGCTCTGGCTTTACAATTTGATTTACATTTGCACTGAATAGCAAATAAGTTGAAGAGTGAGCGAGTAGGAAGTGGTTGAGGGTGTTCCTGAGTGAGGGCTGCCTAAGAGTGAGCCCTCCCCAGATGGGCCCTGAGCAGGTCAGGCAAACCAGGCTGACAAAACAGGAGCATGGTCCCGGGTAAACGTGGACACTTTCCCACGTGGGCGCTAGATAAAGCAAACGCGTCAAATGGGGGGTGGGTGCGAATTAAATAATCCCACATTAGCTTCAAATAGGGTATACTAAGGTTTTTCTCTATTAAAAGGGAAACTCACAAAACAGGAACGGGGGTCCTACATCCAGGTGTGGAGTGCGGGAAGAGAGGAGCAAGAGGGCGGGACCTTGGCTGTTTGGTGTCCAAAGCCAAGCCTCAATCTGGTCCAGCCTTTCAAAGGCCATTGACTGAAAGAGGTTCCCCATCAGATGGGTTCCTGCGACTTGAGGTGGGTGGGTAGATGGTTCCTGGCTCCCCCTCTCCAGGGGACATTTGCCAAAGAACTCTGCAGTCCTGAGTTTCAGAAGGACCACGGTTGAGGAAACCTGGTAGAGTGGAGAGTTATAAGTGAGAAAGGGTCTGAGGGCATAATCCTGGAGAGCAGCAGGCATTTAGGAGGGAAGAGAAGCGAGCACAGAGGGACCAGCAGGGAGTCACCCCAAAGAAGCACTCAGCTAGAGAACAATGGCTTTAGCACTAAATCTAGAATCACAGCCTTTTTTTGAGGGGGGACAGGAAAATAGGATTCAGTGTCCTGAATCCCTTCACTCTATTACACAGTCTATAAAACACAAGGGACAGACTGTCAGTTGGCCTGATGATAGGGTTGCAGGCAGCATTGAAGACAGCTTCCCCCAGGCTGAGGGTGAACTAAGGGTGAGCTCATCAATAAGATCTGGCTCTATCCTGTGGGTGACCGTTCCATGCCACCCACCTCCCATGAGTTCTATATTGTCCTAGGGGTTGAAACACAGACAGACACGACACAGACAGAGTTTCCAGTCATCCTCAAGAAAAGAATGCTCAATTTATTCTGCTTCATCCAGGGTTAAATACTTTTGGCCCAGTAAAGAAAAACTCCTCCCACCCAGAGGGGGCTGGGGACACTAGCGCCTGTGAGAGCTTCTCCTGAGAGCTTCTCATCAGGCAGGTGGTCGAGGGTGCAAGGCAGTGTCAGACAGGGTAGATGGACCTTGGCGCCCAGGCTCTTCCAGGCAGGTTGAGAAATTACCATTTTATAGTGATACAGAGCCCTTAGGCTATTATACCAGGCTACAGCAGAGCAAGAGCAAGCACTTAGCAGGAAGCTTAGCTGGTTAGCATAAACATTTCTTGCATCCTGTGCTTTGGCCTCGAGGAACAGGGAAGACAGGGCCTCACACTATCGCTCTGCCCCAAATACTTGTCTTAACATCTCCTCTTCTTGTTCTTTCCGGGTTGGGATGAACCTGGGGTCTCACTCATGCTCCGTAAGTATTCTACCTCTGAACTACATTCCCAGTCCTCTCTTTATTAAAGAATAGGCAATCAGATAACAATAGGGAAGCCCATGACACCTTGAAGTGAGGTGGTGAGATGCCTGCATAGTTAAATATGTAACAAGTTCTAATTGGCTGCCTAAGAGTAAGCCCTCCCCAAGGGTGCGGGAGGGGGGGGCATGACAGGTCAGGGGGAAATGGTGGGAAGTCCTGAGTCTCTTGCTTGCATTAGGAAGTTGAGGGGTTTAAACTTGGGATTTCGCCATAGGAAAAGTCTTGAGATGTTGTTTAGGCCACCCTCTCTGCTTGATATTTTCCTGGCGTGGCTTGGCATCTTTAGAACTAGAGACCCATTCTGTAGGAAACCAGAATACCTATTTCGGTTGGCCTGAAGGAATCCTGGGGCAGCTTGCAAATAGTGTCAGAACGCTAAGGTGAATTAATGTCTTGAAAATACTTGTCCCCACACCTTACCCAATAAAGAGGACAAAAGCGATTGTGTTTTGTTTTGTTTCATTTTGCCCAGCTGTTTTAATCCTCAGCCAGATTTACAGCTAAGCTAATTTATGAGTCTCAACTTTGAAGAGGCAAAAGAACGTCCTTAAGCCTGGATTTCAAGTTCAACCACAGCTTTAAAGATTAAAATTCAGGAACCATGTTTTTCTTCTTGTTCGTGGGGATAGCAAATTTACACTAGAAGCCTTGCTGTCTGACTGCCAGACATTTGATAGAAGCTTGCATAAGTAACACCTCTTTTCTGGGAATAGTGAGACCAGTGTTGACTTTGCTGCCTTTCTCATGCAAATAAGAAAGTAAACCCAACCTGTATACTTGCTTTCCAAAGCTAGTGAATTCTTACTCAAGAAAAATAGTCTATAGTTTATCAAAGACCAGACTGTTGGATTGGGAAAATGTGGTGTCTCAAGTTGGCTCTGTTTTCTCCTGGCTTCCACTCAAGTTGGACTCAGGAATTAGTATTTAGAGAAAGGAAGCAAGCAGAGAAACTGCTCCAACCCAAGGATGCTCTTGCATTCCTGGGCAGTTCTAAGATCCTGGAACACGCACAAACCAAATGGCTGGTAAAACTTGAGCCAGAACTAAGTCCAGAGGCCATAGAACAGCTTCAGAAGCAACAACATCAACAACAAACCCCACACAACCGGGGGCGGGCTCGGGGAGGCTTATATAAACTGTCCTTTGGTGCTGGTTCCAACACCTACTTCGCTGGGCTTTGTAGGGTCCACACTGCTCTCACTACTCTCGCCCCCTACCGGAAAGGAAAAGCAAAAGTTTCTAAATTAAAGGACGATAGCAGGGTCACGTGGCTCCAGTTCTACACTTAGGAAAACTTTAAGGACGACTGAGCCTTTTCTTTAAAGAGAGTGTTTTTCTCTCTCTTTAAAGTCTTTCCTGCAGCGTCTTGTACTGAGTGTCCCAAATGACTGAATATAAGGTGCTCATTTTCTTGATCTGAAGAAAAAGGGACTAGTCACTCTAAAAAGGGGAGGGACTTTGGGGGAATGGCTGCGCAGTGGCAGAGATGATGTCACCGCTTCTGCACGAGAGGCTGGGGGTGGAGCAGCGAAGTCGGGAGCCGACTCTGCGCTCACAGCTGCCAAGGCAGCTGAGCCCACGTCAGGGGACGAGTCTGGATAAATAGGGTCCCACAATGGCTGTGTCCGATTGCGCTCCGAGCTGCGGGGTCCGAGACTGGCGCTTCCGGCGCCGGTCGGTGCTCTGGAAGTTGAACGCTAGCGCTACTGGTGCTCTCTGCGCCCAGGGGCTGTCGGTGGCCAAACCCCAGAACTATCCATCAGTGGGGGCCTGCAGGAAAGCTCATCCGCTGCTCCTAGGTAAAGAGATAGGGAGAGCAGGGGGACTGGAAGAGAAGGGCCCTTCCTGCCAGCAGCAGCGCGGGAGGACAGTGCCATGCTCCTCTCCATCCTGGTGGCTTTGTGCCTGTGGCTGCGCCTGGCGCTGGGCGTGCGGGGCGCGCCCTGCGAGGCTGTGCGCATCCCCATGTGCCGGCACATGCCCTGGAACATCACCCGGATGCCCAACCACCTGCACCACAGCACGCAGGAGAACGCCATCCTGGCTATCGAGCAGTACGAGGAGCTGGTAGATGTGAACTGCAGCTCTGTGCTGCGCTTCTTCCTCTGCGCCATGTATGCACCCATCTGTACCCTGGAGTTCCTGCACGACCCCATTAAGCCCTGCAAGTCTGTGTGCCAGCGCGCACGCGACGACTGTGAGCCTCTCATGAAGATGTACAACCACAGCTGGCCAGAGAGCCTGGCCTGCGACGAGCTACCCGTCTATGACCGTGGAGTGTGCATCTCTCCCGAGGCCATAGTCACAGACCTTCCAGAAGGTAAGGCAAGAGGAGGTACCCACAGAGGCCGAGAGAGTCCAGGGGTCGACACAATCAGGTGAGAACCAGGCGGCCTCACGGACAGCTGAGCAGTTCTTGTCCCATCACTGTTCACCGAACCTTGAGGTCGGTGAAAGGTAGGGAAAATTATTTTGCAGGGATTCCTCAAGGAAGGGGGATGTGCCCCGAGCTTCCTGAAGGACACAGGAAATAAGACTGCTTGGTGCAAACCATTTAGGCATTTTTTTTACTTAAGGGAGATAGCAGAAACAATTGTCAGGCAAACAGATGGTGTTAAACCCCTGTCCTTCACCTTACCTAAGCCTTGAATCAGTCCCACCATATGGTGGTTAACACACTCTGGGAAGTGGGTTAACACACACTTCCACCCATTTAGTGCTGGGTGGAAGTTCTTTCTCAAAGAGCAATAGTAGTTCTCAGTCCCCGCGAGGAGTAAAGTTTGTAAATGTAGTCGCCCTGTAAATTGGATAAACTCCACTCTGCTCCTATGTTGTGGTCACTGAGCCCAGCACTTCAGCATGTTGACTAATCCGATCACTGTGTCACTTCCTGCTTTTCTCACCCCTGCTGTTTTACTGGTTTTGTTGGAAGGAGCACTAGGAATTCACGTCTTGAATGAAACCTGAGAAAAGTGTTGCATTATTTACTGAGGCTTCTCCTAAGTCAGATCGGAGCTATTAAAAGAGACTGGGTCCCAAATGTGAATCAAGGGGGCTGGCGTGGTTTATGAGCCTTGCTTTAAACTCATCAATTACTGAGAATAGGAGAGAAAAAAATTAAATTAGACAACTGCTTAAATCTCATAAATGCCTGGGAGTTATGTTTAGTTTGGGCAATGCAGCTTCGGATTGTTTCTGCATGGCAGTTAGAGGTGGCAACACGGAAATTGTCTGGTTGTTCTGATAGGAGAACTGCCAACTTGTCAACTTGGAGCAACAGAATTGGGATGGCTGGGGTGGGTGAGACTGATACAGGTCGGTGTCATGGATGTTCATTCACATCAAGTTCTGTTTGAGTAAGCAAATTCTTGACTTACAGACTTCTTTCTTAAGCCTGAGGTGTCATGAGCAAAGTAGGGGATGGCCACATTTTTTTTTTACAGTGGTAATATTGTGTTGGATGTTTGTGTTGGCTTGTAGCCTCTGATAATTCCTTGTGCAATCTGGATTAAGGGACACAGTTGTTGACTACACCCTGCCACCCTGTTTATGTTTCAGATGTGAAGTGGATAGACATCACACCAGACATGATGATGCAGGAGAGGCCCTTTGATGCTGACTGTAAACGCCTGAGCCCTGGTGAGTTCCGACCTCAGGCACCCCCTGCTCTCTTCCCGGAGTGATGTCTCTTCCCCACTTCCCATGTATTTTACGTCTCTTTTAGATCGGTGCAAGTGCAAAAAGGTGAAGCCGACTTTGGCAACATACCTGAGCAAAAACTACAGCTACGGTAAGTCTGCTGATAATGCTATTTTCTCTGGGGACTTGGCACACCGAGGCACCTAAATCACGTCAGGCTGAATGTACTAATCATGGAAAGAGAAATGATGGCTTTTCTTGCTGTTGTGGTTGTTAATTATATGGTTTCTGGAACTCTCAACAACAACTATAAAGCTTCTTGCTCTTCTGGGTACATCAAAGAAAAAAAACTAAATAAACCACTCACATAAAAATGGTCTCGGTGACCATTTCTGCTACACAGAAAGTGGCAGGGAGGGGGCCACTCTCCTCTTTCTCAGTTGTGTCACCGCAGGAAGGATGAGGGTGCCCAGCAGGATTTGATTGTCTGAGGACCAGAGGATGAAGAGCTAACTGTGTGGCTTTTTCCCTCATCAATAGCTACAGATACTTAACCCTCTTCTCCTTTACTTGAACAAATCACTTACTACCCCTACAAAGGAAAAACAAAGCAATCATGGTATTTTACAAGTTTCAACTACTTTTAATTCTACTCTGATCCCTTGTGTTCTTTTAAAATATGCACTTGAGATCTGAGGCAATTCAGTTGCTTGCACCAGCACATACATGCACCCACCTACATGTGACACATACACACACACACACACGAAAAGACGAAAAAACAAAAACAAATCGAGTATCTACTTGGGTTATTTAATCTTTTGTTGCATTTCTTAAATTATTCCTCTTAAAATAACAAAGACAAAGAAATGGCAGGTAAAGTGGTTTCTTTGTCAGCTTGGTTTTCATATTTTAAATGAAATTGTGTGTCCGTGGGAAGCTTTCGATTATTTACCATGTAAGAACGTAGGGAGGAAAAGAACTCTGGAAAAATAATCTGCAGTTCAACTGTCTGATGTGAGAGTCACAAATAACAATATGGACAACTCGGCAACAAAAAGTCTCATTTTTTCCCAAGTAGCTTTTTTTTTCCTTGAAATGTGTTCCATGAAGACGTTGTCTTAATCTTGTCTGCTTTGTTCCTTGTCTGCCAAGATCTGGCCCTTGGGTCTACCCGGAGCTATCTAAGCCCCACTACCATTATCTCTGGGGTGCCACATTTTAGTTCCCACTTGGCGATGAGCTGCTCAGTTGTTACACATTTGGATCCTCCTTAGGCCAGCTTCCTAGGGTGGGATTCAAAACAGATTTGTGTTGAGATGATCAGTGACTCTGCTAGAATACTAAATAGCAAGGATCCAACGAATCTGAAACTCAAAACTCGACCAAGGTGATGACCTGAACATCCACCTGTAATAACAATTTCATGTCCACTCGCCCTGGGCCTTCACCGTCAGTCTGTGTCATTAATGAACGGAGAGCAGTAGCTTTCAGAGACACCTTACAGTTGGAAACCGTTCATGTTAGGTCGCAGGCTGTCTAAATATTCAGAAATGAGTTCAACCTGGGCGGTAGGAGGATTTTTTTGGTGGTTAGAGAAAAGTCAGCATTCTGTGGGGACCTGGCAGTTATGACTAATGTTTTTCTGTAAAAAGAAAGTCAAATCTAAGACGAGTGACTGAAGGAATCCAAGCTTTACCTTGCCATCCAAATCAGATCATATGGTCATCCTCCAACTCATAAGAGGGAACGTAAAAACAAATAAAAATGTTTACATGCAAGTTTTGGTAACCTGTTAGTCCAGGCTAATGCTGGCCTTCTGATTCCCCTTTCATTTTGCGATGTGATTCATGAATTTCAAGAGAATGTTGGCAAAGTAGGATGCTTTGCATTTAGCAGTGTGGGCTTTCTGACTGCACCGGGACTGCTCGGACATGACCATAATTACAGGAGGAGCGCTTTAAGAGACGCTCTGGATTCGGCCCTAAAGCACTGTCTGGTTTCCCCCAATGACTTCTATAACAACAGTTACTTGAGTTTTAAATTGCAGTGATTCATGCCAAAATAAAAGTCATCCAGAGGAGTGGTTGCAACGAAGTAACAACCGTGGTGGATGTGAAAGAGATCTTCAAGTCTTCCTCACCCATACCTCGAACCCAGGTCCCCCTCATCACGAATTCCTCCTGCCAGTGTCCACACATCCTGCCCCATCAAGATGTCCTCATTATGTGCTATGAGTGGCGCTCAAGGTAGGTTCCAGGGAGCAGAGGAACTGCACATGGAGCGTGAATCTCACTTAGCTGTCATGGTTGTAAAGGACAAAGCAATGCCAGTTGTCATTTAAAGAACATTTTAGTAGATGTCTCTTTTGGGATCCTGTGTTTCCTAAATATAATTTTATTCAATATCTGAATATTCTAAATTTCCAGTTAATAGAATGAGAGAAATCTAGAAAAATATTTAAATAGAACCTTTAAAAGCCTATTTCAGAATCCATTAGGTGATTTAAAATACATCAACAAGTAAATTATTCTGAGTAAGAGCATGAAAAGGTCCGAATTTTAAAGTCGTGTCCAGTGCTTAGAGGCTACCTTGCAGTCATCCTAGGCTAAAGTCCTACGTGTTTCCTACTGTACACTTTCAAGTCCCTTTCATAGAACATTGCACACACAATCACACATAGAAACTTTAAGATTATTTCTGAATCTGAAAATATATAATGTCAAATCCAGTCATTACAAAGCAAAGCACAGTTGAATACACACACACACACACACACACACACATACACACACACACACACACACATCTCTACTGGCGAGTGTTCATCTGCTCAGTTTTTTCCCTAGTCGTGTTTTCTAGAATACAGAGGTGAACTTTTCAGCTCTTGTCCCATGACAGGCCTGTGACTTACAGTAATTTTATCTAGGAAAAGCACACTTTTTTATATAACAACCCCCCAACTTTTCATTCTCTGGCATTTATGCTTCGATGTTGCTTTTGGATAAAGCCTAGGAGTCCATTCCTCTAAACTTAAAAAGCAAATGCATCTTTTGAAAATGTCATCATTTCAATGCACAGTTGTGTATTCCATCAGTTGTTGATTCCCCTGCCATAGGGCTGCACGTTCTTAGCTTTCAAACCATTCTTCTCCTCACAGTTGTTTCTCTCAGGCAGTGGCCAGTGCTTCAACTCTTCGCTGTTTATATGTGCCGTAGCAAAGCAGGGTTCAGCCGAGGACATGCCGTATTATTAGTCATTCAGTTCTTTCTGAGCAGATGAGTGGATTGTAGACTCTTCCAGTGCAACTATTTTCAGATGACTGGGATTTTTGTAAAGAAAATTTTAAAAATAATTAGAGATCTACCTTATGAAGAGATACAGAACTGGCATAAAGCTACTCTTTTTGAAACCACGTAGTTTAAGGACAGACATACAGATAAAGGAAAGGAAAATCTTTATTTTATTTATCTTCTGTGCTGAGGAGTGTACCTAGGGCCTTGAGTGCTCAGTGAGCCAAGTTCTCTATTACATAGTTAAGCCTTCAACCCTCAATTTGCTTTATATTTTAAGACATTGTCATATAGGCTGATCTTGACATCATTCTATAGCCCAGGCAGATGTCAGACTTACAACCTTCCTCCATCAGTCTCAGTTCCAAATAGCAGGAGTTATAGGCCTGTGACAAGCAGACCCAGCTAATGGAAATGTTCTCAAAAGTAATTATAACAAATAAAAGAATATTTTATGATGGAAGTGTTATTAAACAGTAGCATATGAATAAATTAGTTACAAATATTTAGAAAATATTTAGAAAAAAGTATGTTTTTCACTATATTAAGAAGCACATTTAAAATGTATTAAATTGGTGAACATTTTAAAACTCATGGTCAAAAATGGCAAAATTGGTTGATTAGAAATATGGCAAATGAAATGCAAAGTGCTTGATAATCACAAAACCAATGCAAGGAACTGCATGGGAAAACGTCAGTGCACATTGTGACTGGTTGAAATGCTGTGCACAATAGTCACAAATGCAAACAGAAAAGGGCATGCCTCTGTAATGGGTATGATGAAAATGGAGATATTATTCTCTAAAATATGCCAGTTAAAGTGTTAAGAACACACTGCATAAATGTGTGCCTAAATCTACAAAGAAAATTTCCATAAGTATAAACAGTAAATAAACATTAAAGTTTACCTTTGTATTTCCCAGGTTCAAATAAACAGAAGATTTTACTTTTAATTAGTATTTTAATATGAGTAAATTAGATGAAAAAGAGGCTACTTTTAAAATGATTGGTACTCTATTGGAAATCCTTTTTAAAAAGATTTGCTTATTTTTACTTTGTGTGTGTGGCTGTTCTGCCACATGCATGTCCATGCATCATATGTGTACCATTCCCATGGAGAGCAGTAGAGACCATTACATCCTTTGGAACTGGAGTCGGCGGCTGGTTATTGGTCTCTGTGTTGTTCTGGGAACTAAACTCAGATCCTCTACAAGAGAAGTTGGTTCTCTTAACAACTGTACCACCTCTAAAATAAAAAAAAAAGCCCCCTTTGGACCAGCATCTAAACCCATCAGAACCCATCTAAAGGAAACAGTGAGCCAGTGCACACTATTCTGTGCAAGGATATTCAACACAATAAGAGTGAGTGATGTGAGATAAACAAATGGAAGCAGAGAACAGCTAAGTAGGTATCCACAGTCGTACTACATATGGATTATAGTTTATTTTATGTTTTCTAATCATCCCAAGAAACAACTATAACAATGAAAAGAAATGTAAAGAGTGGTTTACATATGCAGTGTGATCAGAAAAACATATAGGACCAAGAAAAATCCATGAATTATTAATAGTAGACACACAGGTTATGGGGATAAGAGTTATTTGAAAACAAGTATGATTTCATGTATTAGTAAATGTTTTGCTTTTATAATCTAAATTTAATTGCCAAGAAATTTACTTTTTTTTTTCCTAGAATGATGCTTCTTGAAAATTGTTTAGTTGAAAAATGGAGAGATCAACTTAGTAGGAGGTCCATAGTAAGTATAATTAAGAACATGGTGGGCCTGGGTAGAAACGGCTGTAAGAAAATTCTATAGATTGGGTATTTTCCTACAATGTCTTCTTTCCGAGCTCTCACAAGGGCCAGTAATGGCAAAAGCACTTGTCTTTTGAATCTGCAGCAGAGAATCACACCTAATTTACTCAGAATTGTTATCAGCAACTGTTATCCAACTTCACTGTTGATGCAGTGTGCTCCAATACAAGGCACCAGTTATTTACAGTTTCAATTAGGCATCCCCCCCCCTTTTTTTTTCTTTCCAAGACAGGGTTTCTCTGTAGCTTTGGAGCCTGTCCTGGAACTAGCTCTTGTAGTTCCAGGCTGGCCTCAGAATCACAGAGATCTGCCTGCTTCTGCCTCCCAAGTGCTGGGGTTAAAGGTGTACACCACTACTGCCTGGATGCATTTTTCTTTCTTTATTGTATTACAACTTAGTTAATAAAGCAAACAGTATAAAAATTCAGTATTCACTGGTGTTGAAATGAACATATATTTGTAGAAAAGCAGATACTTCTAAAACTCATACACAACTAATCATACTATTTAAAATAATGTAAGCTATGTCTCTAAGTAATCATAAGCAAAAGTAATTCATTTATGGCAAATGCATAATTTTAATTTAATATTACTCTCATATTGATAGTTTTGTTAGAGTTAGAATATTATCTTCACCCCAGATGAAAATCATCTATAATTAAAAATGGTAACTGGTTTGGAATTTTTAAAGCTGCCTTGATTTTCAAAATAAATAGACATATTGAAAATTTATATTTTAATTTCAAAAAAGAAATCATTACTATACAGTTTTTCAGTTTGGATGGATAAAAAAGCTTCAGCAAGTCTAAGGAACATACTAAGGATAACGTAGGGAGAAAATAGCTAAACACTTAGCATGTCTGTTAAATAGAACCCAACACCATTGTATTAGACCTGGGCTAAAACTCCTACCAGAGACTCGGGAGTTACTCAGCAAGTCTGTTCACAGTAATGAGAAAGAATGTTCTAAAAGAATTGCATTTCTAGTTCCCAAGACAAAAATATAATTGAAAAATCAATGAAGAAATTCAACCTCTGACCTCCAAGCTTCACACATGTGTGTATGTACACACCAGAATAATACATACATACATAACATGCCACAAGTTTTACTCTCAGGGAAACTTAATTACCCATAAGATGATTCATTCCCCAGTGGTCTGGGCATTTTAGTGAGCTACAACAGCTCTATTTTATCTGCCTCTCTGTGTCTCATGTTTTAGTTTTTGTTTGTTTGTTTGTTTGTCTTCCTGCAGGCAATCACAGTTCAAAAATACAAAACAATACAATACAAAATAACACATTTTGAGAGAGGCCACTTTTATTATAGTAAATGAATGAATAATTTTATTCTTGATATCATTGTCTTTTACTGTGCCTAACATATTAGTTAAACTTTACCATAGGTGCATATATACAACAAAAGTTACGGCATCTATCTAGAGAGCACAGTGCTGTGCATGGTCAGCATTGTGCACATGGGGTCTTGGAAGATCCAGTGAAGAAAGGGAAATCACTAATTTTCTTTTCCTTTGGATATAGTAATTTCTTCAATGCAGTAAAAAACTGGCTTTGCCAGAAGGCTTCATAGATTTCTGCTTTTCGTGATGGCAGCACTATTTTAGAATGTTGTGTAGAGATGCTGTAATCTGAGGCTGGCCATTAGAAGCACACGGGTGAGGGGCATGCGCTCTAGAAACGGGTGGAGGACTTTAAAGTCTGGCAAGGACTTTCAGCGGCTCTATGGACCTCTGCAAATAATATCTACATACTTGTTTACTGGTTGTGACAACGATGCTGAGAATATCTGTGTGAGCTTCAAAGAAATGAGCTGAGTATTTAGATTTCTTTGCATACGGAGCTCTTTCCAGTCATGGAAGCCTAAGTGCCCAACCTAGGGAATGCACGGTAATGGCCGCAATATTACAGCTACAGTGGAGCTGCGCTAATGCAAAACTTCCCGGGTCCGTTCTTGTATCAGTTACGCTGCATAAAAGGGTGACGTGTATTTGATAGTTACATCTCCAAATTGCCTCCCAGCAGTGGGAAGAGAGGCTTCGTGAACAGCAGAGGACAGTTCAAGACAAGAAGCGAACAGCCAGCCGCACCAGTCGCAGTAACCCCCCCAAGCCGAAGGGAAAACCACCCGTTCCCAAAGCTGCCAGTCCTAAGAAGAACGTCAAAGCTAGAAGCGCCCCCAAAAAACCAAACCCGAAGAAAACTGCAAGTTAAGTACTTTCCCAGACGGAGCCACGCGTACAGGATTAGGCGGTACTGCCCGGGACAGCCTAGAGACGGTCACATGCCACTTGCCTTAAGAACTCACTCCAGTTCTACTCATAGACACATCTTGTAGCACTTTTTTAAATGATAGCTTCCGTTTTTCTCTTTAAGCCACACAGCCCTTTGGGTGGTTGGTCCTCTGGAATGGAAGGAGCGAGAGGGAACTCTGGTGCACCGGTTTGCCCTCAGGGTGGCCTATGTGCATACTTTGTGATCTTCATGAGGTAGGAAAGGCGCTTCTGTTTTGAGAATTTGACCTAATATGTACATTTTAAAGTTCACATAATATGTCAAACGCAACAGTATTTTTGACAAAAGAAAAATATTTTATTTCTTTTGACTTCTGTTAGGAAGTTAGTGATTAAATGTGATTAAAAATATGGTTTTGATGAAGGCAGGAAAATGATACTTAACAGATCTTCATGTGTTTGTTGTCTGCAAACAAACAGATACTTTTCTGATGAATGGGATTGTGAGAAATTAGAGATACAGGAAATCGTCAGACTTTCAATGCTGTCTTTAGCCAGAAACTTTGAAAACTAAGCTAACAATGACAAATAAAAAGGAGAGGCAGACTGGCAAGGCCTATGTTCTTATTGTCTGGATGCCATACCATGCTGAAGATGCTCTGATCAAAATGCTTCTCACCAGTGTCCTGTGAGCCGCACCATAAAAAGGATGCTTTTTTCCCCTCTATGAGTCAGGCACCAAGGAGAAGGTTAACCTGACAGAAGAGCTGGGAACTCATCTCACGCCCGGGACATCTTAGCACTTCTGATCCCAAATAGGACAGGATATTCTCTGTACAGTTGCAGGTTCTCACAGTCATGTCTGTGGAGCGGATGTACCTGGAATTCCCAACCTGGTTCATACTGTGCTATGCACTCACTGTTCTCTTGGTTCAGGGTGCAGAGGTCACTTAGCTACTCACTACACATGGAATTAGCAGAACAATATGAAAGCTTAAGACTTAGATTTACCATTGTCTCTGCTTGTCATAGGAAAGGTAAGTGACATGTCACACTCATAGTCATTAGACACTGAGGTGAGCACAGCAGGGGCAAGAGGAAAAACGGTTCTATCGAGAAGTATTAAGTATACACTGATTGACTCCTGAAGGCTTAGCTTTGTTTGCATTGTGACCCTAAGCTGATAGCTGAAGAAATACAAGAGCATCAATAAAACACAAAGTATGTGATCCTGCTGTGTAAAATCTGACCCACTGACTCCTAGGAAATCCGGGTAGCACTGCTGATAGCCCATGCAACCTGTTAGCACAAAGAGGATTGATTGACAGAGAACAGTTAGAAATAGAACTCAGCACACTCAGCAGAAAAGGAGGTAAAATAATTCAATAAAAATATTTTAAGTATAGTTTCTCTCCCCTGGCTCCATATTCGATCCCACACCTCTGGCTCCTTTACCAGAGGCCAGGGGAGCCCTAGCAACCCCAGGTAAGGCATCACCCCCTGTCCACTAACACTTATTAAAGCCTGCCCAACAATCCCAAACTGCAGCACTTCCCTTGGGCTCCATATTGTGGCAAACACCTTAAACAGAAGATTTCTGCTTAACCCAAGGTGAAACACTGCCCACAGCCAGGATACACTCTCTAAAGCTGGCCCAACAGCCTCCAATAGCATCCCACCCCTGAACTCCATTCCCAGGCCACAGCTTTACTAGAAATCTTCTGCCGTGAGGCAGGTATGCTGTACGAGGAATCCCCAAGACCATACAGGTACCTAGAACCCCAGAGACCACAAAGATACTTGGAACCACAGGGGCAATATTGGTACCCAAAATCCAGAGGTCCCTTAGGCCACAAAACCACCACTGGAGACATCCTGTTGAACCTGAAAAGTTACTACATTAGAACTCCTGGCCACTTAGGCCAGAAGACCAGAGAGGGAGCAGAAACCAAAAAACAAAGCACCCGTCCAAAACAAAGACAAACTCAGGAACCAACACATAGACCAATAATCATGATGACTAAATGCCAGTGTAAGAACAAAATCAATAACAGGAAGAGCAGCATGTCACCACCAGAGCCCAGCTATCCTACAACAAACGGTAAGACCTGAACAATCCAGTGCAGGTGAACCGCAAGAAAACAATCCTAAAACAAACCTTACAAAGATAATAGAAGTCCTTAAAGAGGAAATGAAAAAAAAAATCCCTTAAAGAAGGACAAGAAAACCAAGGAAAAAAATGAACAGGTGAAGAAAACTGTTCAATAAAGGAGTAAGTCACAAAACAATCCCACACCAGTTTGGAATTATGATTAATAAAAGGGTTGTTTATTTAAAGGGAAAAACTTACAGATCACTGTCTTAGACAACAGTCCTCTGCACTCCAGGAAAAGAGTCTGGTAATCGGAAATGGAGTGTGAAGCAAAAGATGGAGCCAGGGCTCCTGCGGCTACCGCTGTTTTAGCAAGCCAAAGAGACCACGCCCAAGTGGGCTAGTATCTTAAAGGCTATTGGCTGAAGGAGCAGAAAGAGCTCCCAGAGCAGTTCAAGATCCAAACTTCCGGAAAATGGAAATAGAAGCAAAAAAATCCACAGGCAGAGGGAATTCTGGAAACGGAAAATCTAGATAAGCAAACAGAAACTACAGACGTTGAAGACATGACAGGAAAAATAAAATTGTTGGTCAAAGAGAATGTTTAATTTAAAAATTCCCTAACACAAACACCCAAGAAAACTGGGACACACCAGGAGAAGACCCAACCTAAGAACAGCAGAAACAGAAGAAAGAGAAGAATCCTAACTCAAAGGCCCAGAAAGAAATTTTACTAACCTAAAGAAGGACATCCCTGAGAAGATATAAGAAGCTTACAGAACAACAAATAGATTGGACCAGAAAAAAAGTTCCCACACCACATAATAAAACACCAAACACACAGAATAAAGAAAGGATATTCAAAGCTGCAAAGAAAAAAGCCCAAGTAACATAAAAAGGCAGACCTAGTAGACTTCCACCTGAGTTCTCAATGGAGACTCTAAAAGTCAGAAGGGCCTGGATGGATATCTTGCAAACCCTAAAAGACCACAGATGCCAACCCAGACTACTATACTCAGCAAAATTTTCAATCACAATAGATGAAGAAAAGAAGATATTTCATGACAAAATCAAATTTAAAGAATATCTGTCCACAAATCCCACCCTACAAAAGGTACTAGAAGAAAATCTCTAACCTAAGGACATTAATTACACCCACAAAAACAAGACAATAAATAATCTCACACAAAACTCAAGGAAGAGAAACAAACATATGTATATGTGTGCACATGCATGCATGTGAGCTCGCACATGTACACACACACACACACACACACAACTACTTACCATCACCACCACCACTATAACACCAAAATAAAAGGAATTTAAAAATCATTATTCATTAATATCTCTCAACATCATTAGACTCAATTCCCCAATAAAAAGACACAGGCTAACAGAATAACAGGAAAACATTATCTCTTTCTTCTGCTGCATACAAGAAACACACTTCAACACAAAAGATTGACATTACCATACAGTAAAGGGTTGGAAAAAGATTTTCCAGTCAAATGGACCCAAGAAGAAAGCTGATGTAGCTATTCCAATATCGAACAGAATAGACTTCAAACTAAAATTAATCAAAAGAGATAGAGAAGGATATTTTATATTCAGAAAAATCCACCAAGAGGACACTGTAATATTTAACATCTATGCCCCAAATGCAAGGGCACCAATATTTGTACAAGAATCTAAAACTTAAATCATTTATTGACCCTCACATATTTATTGTGGGAGATTTCAATACCCCACGCTCACCAATGGACAGGTGTTGTCTAAGTTTTTCTGTCCTGCCCGGTTCCCACAATCGTTAAGTCCCAAAGAAATCACACAGAGATCTACGTTAACTATAAACTGATTGGCCCATTAGCTCAGGCTTCTTATTAACTCTTATAACTTATAGTAGCCCATTATTCTTGTCTATGTTTGCCACGTGGCTTGGTACCTTATTCAGTAAGGCAGACACATTTTGATTCTTCTGTAGCTGGACCAGGATTGTGGACCAAGCTTTCTTCTTCCCAGAATTCTACTGTTTTTGTCAACCCACATCTACTTCCTGTCTTATTATCCTGCCTATACTTCCTGCATGGCTACTGGCTAATCAGCATTTATTTAAAATATAATTGACAGAATACAGACAATTGTCCCACACCAGACAGGAGAGATTGGACTTATGTAAGTGAATTACCCATGAGTGAGACAAGAAAATAAGATCTAACGGCTTATAATTTTTGGCATCCCAGAAATTAAGTGAGGATCTAATTTTGAGAAGGCACAAGCTGCTAAATGATTTGTGAAGCACAGAGCAGGGGCCAGGGCTGAGCCCAAGGGATATGAGAGTCCGAGAGACATTTGGGTTGCATGGTACCAGACAAAGAGGGCTGAGATATGAGAAACTACAGCTGAGAGACAAGGCCTCACTCGTGGGTAATGATCAGAGGTGCTTGTTGGTGAAGGGGGCCAGCCATAGCCTTAAAGATGATGGCTGGGGGTTTCTCCACCTTCAAGAACACCAGTGGGGTGCCTGAGAATCTACTGTTGTACCCACAGGTCCAGGGAAGCATGTACGCCAACCAGGAAGAGGGAGATTCACCAGTCACAGCCGATGTTGTTCAGAGGGCCCAGTGGTCAAGAAGTTAAAAATTAGGCCATCAGGGCTGGATTGGGTTCATGGTGTACCTCACGGCACCAGGAGTGCCTGCCGAGTCTCACGGTATCAAATGTTGTAGTTTAGTGGCAAGGGGAACTGAACCACAACAAACCCATATGGAAGTTTATTAATAGAAGGTGTAAACAGAGGGGTTCGTGGAGGCCTGTGCTGGAAAAGAAAGTGGTGGAGAGAGAGTAAATGAACCCACTTTTTTGTTGTTGCTGTTTTTGTTTATTTGTTTGTTTGTTTGCTTGCTTGCTTGGTTTATTTTGTTTTTAGAGACAGAGTTTCTCTGTGTAGCTTTGGTGCTTGTCCCAGAACTCGCCCTGTAGACCAGGCAGGTCTCAAACTTGCAGAGATCACCTGCCTCTGCCTCCCGAGTGCTGGGATTAAAGGTGTGAACCACCAACGCCTTGTAGGAGCCTGCTTTTAAAGGGATCTTGACACATGCATACAGACATGTGACATTTACACAGTCATGCAGGGTGTGCACATAGATTACATAGTGATGTACGGCAGTCGGACCTTGGGCTGACTAAGCATTTGCCTGAATACTGACAATTCATATGGGGCCATAGGACCCTGAGGCTGGCTATAGGGTGCCCGTATGCTAACACTCAAAGCCAAGCATTAGGGGGACTTTGGGAAATCCTGTGGAAGAGGGGGAGGAAGAATTATGAGAGGTAGAGGGGTCAAGGACACCAAAGGAAAACACATAGAGTCCACTGACCTAGGCTGAACTGACCTAGGCTGAACTGCCGAACAGGGAACTTACATCGGACCGGCCTGGGAACTCTGCACACGTTGCAGTTTTGTGGCTTTGTTTTCTTGTTGGACTCTTTGGCAGGAGATCTCTGACTCTGTTTCCTGCTTTTGG